CGACCCCATATGCTTCTTTCTTCCTATGAAATTTTGGATTTCCTATCAGAACCTATACATACACTATAACAAAATTAGGTTTATAGGATGTCACCAATCTTTAAGCGTCCCAATATACCACTTTATAGGACTTCATTTATAGGACCAAAATATAAAGCGTCTTATCTAAAAGCGTTGTAATAAGTTTATATAACGTTTTTGGGCGTCTTAACAAGTTTTTTATGACATTTTTAATGTAAACCGTCGCATTAGCAACTTTATAGGACATTTTAGAGAAAGTGTCCTATAAACTCAGTTTTTTATACGACACTTGTTTTTATATGACAGTTTTTCAAAAAATGTCCCATAAAATTGTTAATGGGACTAAGTGTCCTAAAAACTTATTGGGACGTCAAAAAAGGTCATATAAACTTATTACAACGTTTTTAGATGGCACACTTTATTTTTTGGTCCTACAAATTAAGTCCTATAAAGATGTATATTAGGACGCTTAGAAATTGGGAGCGTCTTATAAACCTAATTTTGTTGTAGTGATATGGTTGGATTCTGGTAATTAATCAAAATTTCGTAGGAAGTATGAAGTGTTTTGTTAGTAGATGCTCATCAAAGTTAATATGTTAACATACACTAAAAAATATATAGTTTATAGGAAACCTAAAATGTTTAAATGTTCTAATAAAGTGCTTTATACGACTTATTTTTACAGGAGCAAGAAATAACACGTCGTAGCTACTATGTTCACAGAAGCAATAACTATAAATGCGTAAAAGCAATTAAGCAATATTCAAGTACCTAAAAGAGCCAGTTATATTGGAGTCATTGTGTTGGAGTTAAGTCGGATAGCTTCAAATTTGTTATGGCTCGGGCCTTTTATGACAGCTATTGGGACACAGACTCCTTTCTTTTAAATTTTACGAGAAAGAGAATTAATATTTAATGCTAAGATATGTTAACTGTTTTAAATTATCTTAACATATATTAACATTTCCATGCTAACATTTTTATAGCCTTCGTACAAAATTTTGATTTTCTATGCTTTCACTAAAATAAAATTGGTTTTATAAGACGCCTAATATGTTTAAACGTCTTAATAAAATACTTTATAGGACTAAACCAAAAAGAGTCATATCTAAAAATGTTACAATAAGTTTATAAGACATTTTTAGGTGTTTTAACAAGTTTTTTAGAACGATTTTAAGATGTTAACTATTTTATACAACATTATTTGAAAAAATATATTGTAAACAAAAGTGTTCTATAATAAAAATGAGTTTACATAACACTTCTCAAAAGTATCATATAAAATACTTAATGAAATTTTAATGAAACTGTTTCATATATGGTTGTGCAATTGTTTCATATAATACTTAATGAAATTTTAATGAAACTGTTTCATATATTTTTCTCTAAAATTAAAATAATGAAGATGATAATATCCATGATTAACACCCTCCACAATAAAAGTGATTAATCAATCTCTCATAATTACAAAATAAAAAAAAATTAACAAAATGAAAAATTATGATTGGTTGAATGAGGTTTGTACGGTTTGTACAAATAACGTGATTTGCAAAGTAAACCTACTCTATTCACATATACATATATACATGTACATTTATATACATATGCATAGGGGAGCGATCAAATGCAAACCACTCAATTTTTACAAACCGTGCAAACCTCATTCAACCAATCCTAATTTTTCATTTTGTTCATTTTATTGTAATTATGAGAGGTTGATTAATCATTTTTATTGTGAAGGGTGTTAATCATAAACACTTTATTTTTAAAATGTCCTAAAAAAAACTTATTAAAACACTTAGAATTATCGTATAAACTTATTATAACGTTTTTAAATAAAGCACTTCAGAGTTTAATATTATACACTTAAATTTTATAAAGTATTTTATAAATATTATATATATCTTATAAAATCAATTTTATGCTAACACACAATTCTCTCTCTATATATTAATATTTATCATAATGCATCCTAAGACGCACCTCTCTCTCTCTCTCTCTCTCTCTATATATATATATAAATATATGTAAATATCATATTTTTGATTCACAAGGATGTGATAGAGCAACGTTGACGTGGGGAGAGGGAGAGGACCGGAAGGTACTTAATCATGATGAGGTTAATACTCTCTCTCAACTCAATTATTAAAAATAAACACTATAACAAGATCAGGTTTATAGGACACTCTTAAATTATAAACGTCTTAATGGACATCTTTATAGGACTTGGTTTATAGGACCAAAAAATAAAGTGTCCTATCTAAAGGTGTTGTAATAAGTTTATATGACGTTTTTTGACGTCGTAATACGTATTTTAGGACACTTTTAATATAAAACGTCCTATTATCAATTTTATAAGACACTATTTGAAAAATTGTCCTATAAAAAGAAATGTCCTATAAAAAATTGAGTTTATAAGACAATTTCTCAAAAGTGTCATATAAAATTGCTAATACGACGCTTAATATTAAAATGCCCTAAAAAATTTGTTAAGACGCCCAAAAGCGTTATATAAACTTATTACAACGCTTTTAGATATGACATTTTATATTTTGGTCCTATAAATTAAGTTCTATAAAGCCGTGTATTGAAACACTTAAGAGATTGGAGACGTCTTACAAACCCAATTTTGTTGTAGTGAAAACCCAAAAACACTAAAAATAACAGGTCGATTAATGCTAAAAAAATAAATTTCAGCATACATTTAAAAGAAAAACTAAAAATATAATAATAGTAATATTAAAAAATATATTGAACTATTAATAAAATATATATATATATATATATATATATATATACTTATAAAAACTTGATATATATTAATATTTCATTCATAGAGGCCATCTTTTTTCACCTTCAAATGTACAGACCTCTATTTTGTAGAGTGTTGAATTAAAGATGAAAGTATTTTTAATGTTGAAATGAAGATGAACTATATATGTTCATGAAGCTGAAAAAGGATCAATACATAAATTAAAAGGGAATCTTTTGAAAACACACACATACATATATAGAGAACGTTTCGAATGCAACTTATCACATTTATATGATCAATGTAACACAATTAATTGAGATATTTATCAAAATGATGAGAATTCATTTATTTTAATTAAAATATTTATGTAAGATGACTATAGTTCATTAATTATGATGATGCATAATAACTCAAATATAAAGGGTTATATATATATAGGGGCCTAATCAAATGAGAACTAATTAATTTGTGGTAACTGTGAGAAACAATATTAACCACAAATCAATAGATAAATTAGGAAATTTATAATTTTGG